CAGATGCATCTTAAGAAATTGTTGCCCTGGGTCCACTGTACCCAGTGAAGAACTTTAGTTTGGTCATGGGCAGCTCTATGGATGTCTCTGGCGCATTCCAGCTTCTGCTGGCATCAATGGCATCTTGGCTGGGTACCACCTTGTCACAGTGAATCCCAACACACTGTGTAACTGGAAAAGATTGTATTTGCAATGGCTGTGTGCATATACTTGTTCTCTGGACCAGAGACACAGCCCTATAGCAGATCGTTCTCATGACATTAATCTTGCCTTGATTTAATTTGGTTTCCATCCCTAAAGCAGAGGCCCAGAGGATGTTCCCTCCATCAGGAGGATGGAACGATTAATGAGTCCCTCTTGCAGGAGCATTTGGAGTGCCTCAGATGGAACCAACAGCTTCCTGTGTTTAACCCTTCGAATTGCATGGCACTTTACAAAAAAAAAAAAAATGCCATTTCTGCCCTGATCTCAACAGCAGCTGACTTGTGTAAAATAGAAAACAGAAGCTATTTCCCCACCCCAAACATCTGTAAATTATTTTTCTGTCCTTTTCACAGTGTTAAAGTGACACATGGGGTAGATATGTTCCAGCCCTGGAGCACAGCTGTGCAAGTTAGAAATGCACGCGTGCGCACGCGCGCACTCCACACACACAGCACTCATCCACTAATAAAACGCTTTTACACTGGCTCTTGGAAGATAATTTCAGAGTAAAATTTCTTTGGGATGAGCTGCATCTATGCTATCTTAATGCCTGAGCACGGTGCCAGCAGTGAGTTGTTGCCAGCTCTTGAGGAGACATTTGAACTTTTGGCAAGCGCTCCTTATCGGAAGGCCCATCCGTGGCGTTTGTGATTATAGAGGAAGGGTACTTGCTTTTGGCAAAACAAAGTGTCTGACAGTAGAGGAATATTGGCGCAACACTCAACAGGATCCATTTGGGATTCATTCTTTGACAATTACCCAGAATGAATCACCAGCTTCCTTTTATAAAAAGATATTTATTGGCTTAGAAACAGCACATCCAGCTCTTGGTGGGGAAGAATTTTGTAACTATGTTCAAACATTCTCATAAGCCCGGTGTCTGAGTATTGCTAAGGGGGTGTCTGCACAGAGCAGTTACTTTAATTGCATCAAATACAGAGGAGAGTTGAAAAAAATCAGCCAGAAAACAATGAATGGCTCAAGGGAAAGAAAGGGATGTCTGGTAATAATAGCAGAGTCAAGATGCTCAATAAGAGTTAAGAATCCTCGCTGGAGACACTTGGCCCAGCCTGATGGGCCAGCCAGCCCCCTGCCCAGCCCCTTCCGCCCACAAGATGTCCTGAAGACCCACAGAGGCCTCTGGCCCTAACTTCCAGCTGGCTGGCCACAGCTGGCTGGCCAGCTGTGTTTGAGACCCCTTGGAGGGCTGGCCCTTGCTCTGAGTAATTCCCCGTGTGGGTGTGACCTGGTTTAGACAGTGAGTTTGAATCCTGTGAACTTGCCAGGATAACTTAGTGCAGCAGGCCAGAAGAGAAATTCTTCTATTTCTCCTTTTCTTCCAAGCTGGAGAATGCCAAGTCCAAATGGAAGTTAAGACAGCTTGAAGCTGTAGAGTGAAGTGGAGAGGAAAACCACTTAGCTGAGAAGATTCAGAAATGACCGGAGTTGAGTGACCACAATCCCCAAAGGGAGGTGGGGCTCTGTGTAGCCATGGCCTGTGTCCTCATCGCTGCCCACTTTGCCTTGTATTGTGACCCAGCCTGCCCTTAGAACCTTCTGCTTCTCCCCAGGATCCTGGACTGCCCTTTACATCTCCACATCCATGACTCCCTCTGCCTGAAGCTCTCTAGGTCCTGCTCCTGTTAATTTCCCAGCACCCGTCAGGGATAGGAAGAGAGGAATGGAGGGGTCATTTGGCCCTGAGATCCAACAGCCTCTGATAAAAACACTTGACTTTATCTTTGGGAGAGGTGATACATAGAAATGGCAGTAGTGTGTCCCTCCAGGGAAAGCATTAGTTTTGTCAACATGCACATTTTAAAATCGGTAGCAATATTTCAAAGCTCTACTGAGATATACTTTCTATACTTTAAGGCTTGGCTGTTTTGGTTTGTTTTGTGTCAGTACTGGGGCCTGAATTACGACCTTACACTGTCGCTTGGCTTTTTTTTTGCTCCAGGCTGGTGCTCTGTTTGAGCCACAGCTTCACTTCAGGCTTTCTGCTGGTTAACTGGAGAAAAGATTTGTCTGCCTGGGCTGGCTCGAACCTTGATCCTCAGATTTCAACCTCCAGAGTAACTAGGATTACAGGCCCATGTCACTGGCATCTCGTTAAAGCTCTTAAAGTGTAGAATTCAGTGGTCTGGGTGTAGAGTTTTATGATTGTCACATTAGGTTAATTTTATATCAATACCCATAAAAGAAACTTTGGCTCCTTTTCTTTCTTACCCCATCTTTAGTCAACTAGCAATCTACTTCTTGTCTGTATTCACCCTATCTTAGGCATTTCATGTAAATGAGATAATACAACTTGTGGTCTTAGGCAACAGCTTTCTTCCACCTTTTAGAAGTTCATCCACATCGTAATATGTAGTAATATTTCCTTTATTATATGGTAATTTTTTGTAATATATTGATACAATGGACTAATACAAAGTAATAAAAAAAAGGATAGACTACTAGTAAGAGGCAAACATAACACATCCTTTGTATTGGCCTTTAAAAGCCATTGGCTCATGCATGTAATCCTAGTTATTCAAGAGGCTAAGGTCATAGTTCAAAGCCAGCCTGGGCAACAAAGTCCATGAAACTATTTCCAATTAACCAGCAATAAAGCTGTAATTGGAGCTGTGGCTCATGTGGTAGAGTGCTAGCCTTGAGCAAAAAGCTCAAAGATGGATAGTGCCAAAGCCTTGAGTTCAAGCCCCAGAACTGAAAGAAAAAAAGAATCCAAATACAATAATAATTCATCCTGTGTACTTCCATTTGTATAAAGTTTTGGAATAGGCAGGAGAAGTTGGTGTGAAGAAGTTAAAGTGTGAGGATCTTGGTAATGTAGGTAAGCAGTTACATAGCTATGTAAATTAACAGGGAACATCAGAGCTGTACCTACTACTAGCACATGGTAAACATTCACCCATAGGTTATACCTACATTTAGAAGGTTAAAAACAAAAACAAAAACAAAAAAACAGGTGCCACAAGGTGCTGGTGTCTTATGCCTGTAATCCTAGCTACTCAGGAGGCTGAGATCTGAGGATTGCAGTTCAAAGCCAGCCCAAGTAGGAAAGTCCATGAGACTCTTATCTCCAATAAACCACCAGAATAAACTGGAAATGGCACTGTGGCTCAGGTGGTGGAGCTCTCACCTTGAGCTGAAGAGCTCAGGGACAGCACCCAGGCCCAGAGTTGAAGCCCCACAACCGACAAAAAAAAACAAAAACAAAAACAAAAAACAGGTGCCAGTGGTGTAATCCTAGCTACTCAGGAGACTGATATCTGAAGATCTTGGTTTGAAGTCAGGCAGGAAAGTCCATGAGATGCTTCTCTCGAATAAATTATTCAGAAAAAGCAGGAAATATCACTGTGGCTCATGTGGCTCAAGTGGTAGGGCACTAGCTTTGAGCAAAAGAAGCTCAGAGACAGAGCCCAAGCCTATCAGGACTAGCAAAATAATAATTTTAAATCTTTAAAAAAAATGCTCTTTACCTACAGCATTTATCACCATGTGAACATATCCTGTAGCTACACCTTTTTGGACCTTCTAATCACAAATCCTACTTTCTTCTCTGAATAACTTATGCCATAATTGGACTGTGGGGAGTTTTTTTTTTTCTTTTCTGTTTTGGTACTGGGATTGAACCCAGGACGTTGTACTTGCTAGGCAAGTGCTTTGCCACTGAGCTACATCCCAGCCCAACAGTGGGGAGTTTCTTTTAGCTTTATGTAAACAAAATCACACAGAACACTTTTATGTTGGACTTCTTTTGCTTAACACTTATTTTTGTTGTTTCAAGATTTGTTGTATGAATAGATCCATATTATTTACTTTCTATTGTTGATGAATATGAGTTGCTGTTAATATGGGGAAATTACAAATAGTCTAACATGAAGATATGTACTTAGGTCACTTGGGTATAGACCTAGATATAAAATTAATCCGCCACAGGGTAGATATAAACTTTTTGTAGCAGTTGTTGAAAACCATTTCTTGGTTCGGACTACTCTACCTGAATGCCATAGTTTGAGTGACTTAAAGAACAAGTGTTTATTCTTACAACCTGATGCCCAGAATACAAGGTCTTGGGACTTATAGATTTGGAGTCTGGAGAAGGCCTTCCTTCTGTTCTACCAAGAACCATCTTCTCACATGGTAGACAGCAAAGAAGGGGGGAGATGAGAGAGAGAGAGAGAGAAGGGGAGAGACAGAGAGTGAGAGAGGAAAAGAGATAAAAGAGAGGGAGGAGGAAAGGGGAAGGGACAGAGAAGAGAGAAAGTATGCCATCTCTCTGGTGTCTCTTTTTAGAGTACACTAATCCCATTCATGAAGGCACCATTCACACATGATTCAATTACCTCCTAAAAGCCCCACCTCCAATACCGCCATATTGGGGATTAGGATTTTGGTACACAGACTTGAAGAGAAACCAATCATTTAACCCATGACAAGCACCTCAGAAAATGAAATTGGCCCAGGCCTCTCATGACTTAATGCTCCCCCTCCCATTGCTGGCCCCCATCATCTGTGCCACAGGGGCCTGGGCTCCTGTTCTCAGCACTCTCTCCCCATCTGTCAACTCCTGTACAGGGCCAGAAGCCCCTTGAGGGCAGAGACAATGTCCAGCTTGTCATCTAGCTAGCCCCAGATTACAGCACAATATCCAGAACATAACAGTTCTTGATAAATATTTAACTCAATGAGAGAATGTAAGATCCATCCAGCCATCTAATTCCTGAGTGAAGTTGAGAAATACATTAAATTTTGAAAACTCATATATTTTTTATCTTTGCTTTTAGATATCAAATGGCTCCACTATAAAAGTCTTTAAGAAGATAGCAAATTTTACTTCAGGTAACCAATATAATATTGTTAACCTTTTGTCCTCACCCAGCTTTATAAAGTATTGCACTTTTTTTTGCCTCTCTCAGATGCATTGTCATAAGGTGAGATTGAACTGTTGCTATGCCGTTCTCTGAAAGCTGAGAAAGTCATTTCCATCTGTTTCTGGTCCTAAGAATTGGGGACCCTGCCAGAGGAACAGAAACTGTCACTGGGTAGGATGGTCAAGCATAAAGCAAGTTGTGCCTCATCACAGTTCTAGACTCAGGGAAGACTCAGCCCTCGGCTCCTTCTCCAACTCCTCCATTAGGATGGTGGCCAGCCACGGGGATCCCCCTGGCAAGCGGAGAGAGAAACTTGCAGATGACCGCACGGCCCACCACCAGCTGAACAAACAAGATAGTCCATTAAGCAAGTCAGATATCAGTGTGATTTGGGAACTTTCTGGATGGTACAGAGGAAACTCAGAGTGGCTCTTGTGGGATGTCCATGGGGTCTTCCACTTCTGACAGCTTCAGAGTAGTGATCTGGGGAAAATTCTTAGGTTGTGTATCTCCTAAGAAATTATACACCAAGCCAAGATGTTCCCCTCACACCCGCACTGCTCAGCAAAGGTTTCCTTTCTGATTCCTGGAATCAGAAGTTGAAGTTTAGTAGTTTCCAGCATGGGATCATTGTAAGCAGGGCAACTTCAGGGTTCCTGATGAATAAAGTGAACTGTTTTTAAGACATTTCCTTGGGGACCCCTATCTTCTATACTGTATCTGGCTATCAGGCTATACTGTAACTGTTTTGCAGTTATTGTCCTGTGTCCTTGTGTTGTGGACAACTGTGGGTTTTAGGTCTCAAATGAAACTTTGGGAAGAGCCAGCTGTTTAAGGACTGAAGAGTAGAACCTAGGTTTGGAGCCTCCACGGGATTCAGCTAGTCTACCAGTCAGTCCATACCTTTTCTTCCCCCCTGCCCAATGAGGCTGAGAACCAGAATTTATTAGGTTTATCATCAGGATTACTCTCGTGACAGTACTGCAAATGACCTTTTGCCCTACCTATCACAAGCCCTTTTGACAAAATCCCCATCCCTGTATGAAACTGGCTATTAGCCTTTTCTGAACCTATAGTCAGGAAGCTAAAGCATGGCTACCCTCAATAGCAAGTGGGGTCACTATAAATTCATGGTGACTGATCCAGGTCCTCAACCAACTCTGTGTTCTCCAGAAGCTCCACCTCCTTCTCCAAGCTCTGACCATAACTCTTGTGCTTCATGGAGAAAACAGAAACTGGATCCAACTCACACAACATCCAGCACCTACCAGCCTACTGCTTCTGCCTATGTCCCTGCTCTTCCTTCCCGGTCCCCATCACAGCATTGCAGGCTGCCTTCCTGCCTCCAAGGCCAGTCTCATTCAGGCTTCAGGCCCTCCCACCGTTTCCAGCCTTCTGAGCATCCATGGGCACCAATTAGTCCATGGCAGTTGGTTTTGTTTTGTTTAATGGACTGTCCTCCACCTCCCCCCATTGCATGGTAATAGTCTTCATCATCTAAAAGAAAATCCCAGTGCCTTAGTCTCTTCCATTTTCTTTCTTTGCCCTTCACAGCAGGTTCTCCTCAACATTCCCCCTGTCCCTGATACTCTTTGCTTGCTTTGTGAAATCCACCTCATTCTCCTTCTTTTAGATTCTAGAAGGGGTGGCTCTCTTTCTCACTTTGGTCCTTGCTCCATGTGCCTGGCTGTCTCTTCACCTCCAACATTTCTCCCAGACTTGGACTAGTGGCTTGTTAGCTATAATTCTCCATCATGATCATTATAATTATAATCAAGTGTGCAGTTAGTAGCCCGAGGTCTCTCCGTGACTAGCATTACATACCCTTAGGTATGGGGGACCATGGTCGGAGTCGTTCCTTGGTGCACACCTGGCAACCTCCGGCACATCCGAGGTGACCCAGGTTTGTTAAATGACAGACTTGAGTCCCTCCTACCTTGTTCCTAGCAAGCGGTCACTCAGATTTTTTTATTTTTTAACACTTCCAGCCCCCAGCCCTTCCAGCCTTCACACTGTTCATAAGGCATACCAAGGAAAAATGTACAAGAGCTCTTAGATTTACACCACATTATTTTAGAAGGCTGTTGTTTGGTTGTTGTTTGTAATACATGTCTTCTCTCCTTCTGTCCCTGGTGTTCAGATGTGGAATATTCGGATGACCACTGCCATTTGGTGAGTTCAGGCTTTCTTGTGCTCTCCGCTGGATTGCACCCATGGTCTCCTGGGGTAACACTTCTCCTGTCTTCTTTTTAGATTTTACCAGATTCAGAAGCATTCCAAGATGTGCAAGGAAAGAGACATCGGGGGAAGCACAAGTTCAAAGTAAAAGAAATGTATCTGACAAAGCTGCTGTCGACCAAGGTACACTTGCTCACTGTTCTGGGAGTGCTTTTATGGCTACCTTGGGGGTAGATGATGTGTTTGACTTAATTTCCAATGAAGTGTGAAAATGTTACAAATCCCCTATGCCTTCTAGCAAAGCAAAATGAAAGTTTAAATCGTAAACATTTTTTATCCTTCCCCTCCTCTTTTTAATATATATAGAAAGTGGAAAGATAACAGCATTTTACAAATTTCTACTGTGTATCTTCAATCAGGAATTTTAATATCATCCCCTGTTCCTTTACCCACCATTTCACTATTGTTATTTTTTATGGCTGACAGCATAATTATTCCTTTTTGTTTACTTTGTTATTATAGATAAGCAATACAATTCCTTCTTTGAATTGCAAATAAAATGAAGAGGGGAGGTGACGATAGACCTAGTAAATCTTACTGATTTTTACTTTTTTCATTTTGAAATTAGGCATTCTGGTCACATATGAAAGTGTGAGATGTGAAAGCCAGTGGAATACCAAATTAGGAGGAAATTTTTCTTGATCTGGCTTTCAGTGGGATTAAGAGAAGCCTGTGATGATTTCCCCTGAAATGACTAGAAATGTGAATGCTACTGTCTGTGCCTGACCCAGTAGCTTCATGATGTCTGAATCTTCTCAGAGCTTAGGAGATGTTTGGTGGACAGAGATCAGCCTGAACCTTTTGATTTTCTCAGCTATCCCAGATGGTTGTTTATTTTGTAAAATGCTCAACTGCATTGGAAAGTATACAGTTAAACCCCAGGACAGAAGTACAGGCAACAGGAAAAATTCTGGGAGTAAAGCAGCATTGCTTGAGTTTTTCCAAACCAAACACAACCAAAAGGCAAACATCCAGCATCTAAGGTTTATACACAGCCCTACAACTGACATTTCCACTGCTAGATCGGCAAGGTGCCTCCCTGTTGACTAAACAATGTTGTGATCAGTAAGAAGCTTACGAGCCAAATTTATATAGGCACGAAATTTTCAGGACCATTGTCCCATACTGTGAATCTTATCCCTGTCTGATGATTTGTCCATTTTTCTTTTTCAGCTAGTGTTTTCACTGGTTAGCACGTCACATTCTGTGAACTTAGATTTGATTTTCTATTATGGTTTCCAAACCAACACCATGAGTGTCTTTTGTTTTGTTTTTAATCTCTTTAAAATCTCACGCTTTCTGTCTTTTAGGTGGCAATTCACTCTGTGCTTGAAAAGCTTTTCAGAAGCATTTGGAGTTTACCCAACAGCAGAGCTCCATTTGCAATAAAATATTTTTTTGACTTTTTGGATGCCCAAGCTGAAAATAAAAAAATCACAGATCCTGATGTGGTACATATTTGGAAAACAAACAGGTGGGAATATAGGTGATTGCTGTTTTCAAGAATCTAGGACAGAATATTAACTATAAAGAGGATATAGGGAGTCACAACAAGAAGTTTCATTTATCTCTGGATCAGAATCTTTGGGCTTGGTAAACTATCACACCAAAACCACGCCTATATTGAGGATCCTGTTCTTTAAGATAAACATCTTTAATGCAAGAAAAAGACTTTGTCTAAATTTTGCTAAACCACAAAAGTGAGAAATTAATTAGTAGTGATATTTTTAATACTAGTACTAGGGTTTGAACTCAAGACCTGGGCACTGTCCCTTAGCTTAATGGCTCAAGGCTGGTGCTCTACCATTTGAGTCATAGCTGCACTTCTGCTGTCCAATTGGAGATGAGTCTCACAGACTTTCTTGCCTGAGTTAGCCTAGAATCACTCAGGTCTCAGCCCCACTGAGTAGTTAGGAGTATAGACAGGCACCATCAGCATCTTGCTAATTTGCGAGCTTTATCATAACCATTTTCAGTAAGCATCTATTTGCTCCCCAAATAATCAGTTACTTGGCAGTTTTCAAGCTAGGCCATATATATTTTTTTAAATGTGGTACTTACAAAGGTTAGTATTGTTTTCCTGAATTTTAACATTTTACTTTAAAGAAAAGCAGGGCATCCAGATTTATTCTAAATGTCTCCTCGGAAGAAAAGCACAACTCATTATCTCTATTTCAAATATTTTGAGCAGAATGGAATCAGATTCAGTTATGATGAAAGGGAACTTCTCATGCAAATTCAAGTCCTACGTTAGCCAAGCCTAGCTGAAGTTTACAAGGCTAAAGTTTCAGATCTATAAGATCTCGCCCATTAATCTGAGTCTATCCTGACTCTCCGTCTTGGCTCACTCCTGTCCTGTGTCCTAGCTTCATGTCTCTAGCCCCTACACACACAGCACAGCACTACAGCCCGTACAGAAGAGCCACTGAGAGCCCAGAAGCCATGTAGTGGAGGTAGTAAGCTAAGCCAGAGTTGAAAATGAAGTCATGAAAGGACTTGGAACAGTCTCTAAGACCATACCTAAGTATGTGAGTGCTGGAATAGAGTAATGAACAACACAGATAAACTTAAGAGTTTGAATTCTACTCAGTGCACATCGACAGGAATGTGGCCACTGAAGTGCAATAGAAGGTGCTGGGTGCAGTGGGGAAGTGGAAGGCCAGGATAGAGCAGACAGGGAAGAACAGAAAGAAGTCCAGGAGAGTGGCAGTGAGCAGGGTGAGGCAGGCTGGGAGAGGAGGCACAAACTGATTGAAGGTCAGCAGAGGGTGAGAACAGAGGAGTAACCAGATTGGATTCTGTGTTAAGATCAAGTGTTGTAAGAGAACAGTCAGGAGCTGGGTGAGGCTTAGACCAGGGGGCCATACTTAGGTATGGTACTTAGATAGAGATGGGGCTAGATCTAGTTCTAGTTCTCACTGGTGACCATCATCTCTTACAACCTAGCACTATCTGGGATTCTTTTCTTGTTCTCCTCTAGCCTGCCTTTCAGTAGCTGTTGGTACTTGTGCCAAGTGGTGCTGGGTGACTTGTTTGATAGTTTGGCTAGGCAGGCTACTTCCATAACAAAGGTATCAATACTCATCTATAAACGATGCTAGAACAGGTCCTCCTCCTACGAATGGCCCTATTTGAAGAGATTGTTCTTTTTGAACAGCCTTCCTCTTCGCTTCTGGGTAAACATCCTAAAGAACCCTCAGTTCGTCTTTGACATCAAGAAGACACCACATATAGATGGCTGTTTGTCGGTGATTGCCCAGGCCTTCATGGATGCCTTTTCTCTCACAGAGCAGCAACTAGGGAAGGTGAGGCCCAACTTTGCACCTTCTCTACACACTTGTGAACTTGAAACCCCATTTTGTACATAGGCAAATAATAAACAGGTAGTTCAAACCATACCAGATGAAAAGAAATAATTATGCCACTGCCAATTGGCTTTTCCATAAAATGTCTCAGCTACTTTTAGCTTTAATTCAGTTGTTCTCAAAAGTGCAAACCAAAAGAATTAGTCCCACTCCAGTACAGAAATACTATAGAATAACTTAGAAATAGAAAAGCTTTAAAATGAAGTATGTTTTATCACCTAGAAAAATAAGTCCATATGTGCATAATGCCCACACAGTGGACATCAGTAACTATTATGAAACTATTACTATTTGTCCAAGTTAATTTTATCTGTATATCTGCATGTACATATATATTTGAATTTAAATATAAAAATGGCTTATAGAGAAGAAAATCTTATGAGACTTACAATTATACCCATTTGCCCCAGCTTATAATCAAAGCCCATAATATTTCTTGCCCCCGGTTTTTTCCACTGCTCAAAACCCCCAAGAAAGCCTGAATAACTTGGAAAGAGGTGTTCTGATCTTTCCTGAGCATTCATATTAAACAAAGTGCTTTCTATATGCACTGGACTTCAGAAAAATCTATGGAAGGGGCTGGGAAGGTGGCTCAGTGGTAGAGCGCTTGCCTTGCATGCCTGAGGCCCTGGGTTCGATACCTCAGCATCACATAAGCAAAAAGCCGGAAGTGGCACTATGGCTCAAGTGGTAGAGTGCTAGCCTTGAGCTGAAGAGCTGAGGGACAGTGCCCAGGCCCAGAGTTCAGGCCCCACGACCGGACCCCCTCCCCCCCCCACAAAAAAAAAAAAGAAATCTATGGAGGACTAACGGCTCTTCAGTAGGGAAATTCTCAGAGAAGCTGAAATAAGTGGTGACTGAGGCTTCTTTCCTAGCCCCGTTATTTTAGGGGGCAAATTCATGAGGTGCCTTCTCCTAAAAACCCAGTAGGAACTAATTTCCACATTTCTTTGCTCACATATGCATTTCACAACTCCCCTATCTAGTAAAATCCTATTCACCAACATTTTATCCATTCCACAATAATGATTTTTGATGTCTTTTACTCTGCTACTAATGACGTCATAGTTAAGCACTGTAGATATCTGCCTAGATTGTAAGCTTCTCAAAGGAAGATACCAGTCAACTTCATCTTTTGTTCATTCAGAACCTGCCAGCTATGCTTGGCTAAGTAAAAGCTTATTGAATGGATGAAATATTATGTGATTTATGGGTTCCATCTAAACTTGACAAGCAAACTTCAGTCTTCTCTCAGTTAAGGCAGCCTTCAGATGATTAATCAAACCATTGATTCAGACACTGGACTCTGTAAAAGATACTGGGACATTAGCCCTATCATTAACTCATCTTTCCTGAATAGATCTTGTTTAAATTTTGGAAAACTAACCTTTCCACCTACTTAATTTTTACATATGATCACTGTTATAATTACACACAACCATTTAAACTGTCAGAGAACCTTTGCAAGGTAAGACCTGCGAGCCACTAGGAGTAAGGACACCGTGCTTCCTTGAGGAAACCGCAAGATCTTCACCATGCAATGAAATATGGGGACATGCTGGAAAATTTGCCACTGCCAATTACATACCACTTTCATAGTTATATAAAGGGCTCAATCAGATCTACAATCAAGTCTTTTATAAATGCCAAAATTCACTGGTGGGTGAGGATGAGAGCAAATGCTTTAATTCAGGCTTTTTACAACCATTAGTAATGAACGATGATTGAAATAAGTTCCATTGTTACATTAACTCAAAATCATGCAAAAATAATAATTTCAGTTCTTTTATGAGGAAGGCTGAATATATTAGCATTTATTCTGCCTGAAAATAACAGTGACTCACTAGAACTATCTAGATGGCAGTCACTCAGTCAACGTTATTGAGGCCTAAGTTGCAGGAAGCCTTGTCAGAGAAGGAAACATTGGTGGTGGAGCTTCAGCTATACTATTCTGTCCTAAATTTCTTGATGGTTCCTTTTTCTTTCTTTTTTTTCCAGGAAGCACCAACAAATAAACTTCTCTATGCCAAGGATATACCAACCTACAAAGAGGAAGTAAAATCTTATTACAAAGCAATCAGGGACCTGCCTCCATTGTCATCTTTAGAAATGGAAGAATTCTTAACTCAGGAATCTAAGGTATCTTTAGAAAGTAGAAATAAGCTACCATTGGTTGTTTCTTCTTCTTTTTCTTCTCTAAAGTCATTTCAGAGCCTGTGAACAAATCTGTTTTTTAGAAACATGAAAATGAATTTAATGAAGAAGTGGCCTTGACAGAAATCTACAAATACATCGTAAAATATTTTGATGAGGTAAGACTTTACTTCAGATCTTTGTAATCTATGAACGCATCAGTCACAGGGATCTGCTTGTAGCATTCTGTAGGTTTCAGGACAGCTCTGGCATCCCAAATAGGCAGAAAGGAAGGCCCAGGACGCCTGTCTGAGATGGGGGTTCCTGGCACCACGCCAGACCCCGCACTTGGTGCCCCTGAATTTACATTTGAGTTCATGGGGCCTCCATTTGATGAGTATCTTATCCCCCTTTTAAATGGGGCCATCATATGCTTGACTACCACCTGCTAAAAATGAAAACTAGCCTGTTAATAAGTCACATAGTTTCTATATTCAATAGTTATGAAATTATGACATTTCTAATTTAAGTATTTCAATAACAAATGTTTAAGTTCAGGCATTTTAAGGACCATTATTAATGAACTACCATTCTCCTTGATGATTAATTCTCCTTAATCTGGATGCGTTGTTTCCAAGTATGTGTTAATTCCCCCTTCCCTGATTCCCCCCCACTCAGTCATGCTGGGACAGGCTATCCATGTCTATGGTGAGAATAGCTCACCAATTCCATTTGCTACTTGAAGATCAATGAAGCGCTAAGGTAGGGTAGAGGAAATGAGTTCCTTCAACATGATAAGCATCCCTCTGTCCAGGGGCCAGAGAAGGGAAGCACTGGGGGAGGGTAGAGGAGGGGCTAGACTGGGGTGTGGGGAGGAAGGAGGGAAGGGAAGGACTCATCTGGACCAGGATGCCCTTGCCTGCTGCATTAAGGACAATACTTGCCTGCATGCTGGCTGCCCAGGAATGCTTGCTGTGCTTGGAATGGCTGTGACATAATGCATAACTTAGGGCCTTGGAAGTCTGGCCTCATATTTGTAAGCACATAGTTGGTATTTCTTGTGGGCTTCTATTTTAAGTCAACGTGTTGTTGATTCTGTGATAATGACTTGGCAAAACAACTTGCAAAATGAGTAAATGATCGAAGAAAATGTTGGCATCTGTTTCATACAGATTTTTTTTTTTACCAATCATAACATCAGGAATGCAAGAAAGGAAAAAAGATTTAAAAAAAAATAAAGCAAAAACAAAACAAAAAACAAAAAACCAAACCCATCAGAATTGTAATGCTAAAACCACAATATCTAAAATAACTGTTCTAATTGTCAACAGATTCTAAATAAACTAGAAAGAGAACGAGGGCTGGAAGAAGCTCAGAAACAACTCTTGCATGTAAAAGTCTTATTTGATGAAAAGAAGAAATGCAAGTGGATGTAAGTACTCTGGGGCCTGGTTTAATCTGGCAAAAGTTCTTCAGACGACTTGGGAGCAAAATGGCTGCTAGAGCTACTCTGTGTCGTTAATTTTTAAGTTTGCACATAGGTTCCACTTTGAGCACTGTCTTTTAGGAGACTGAGGCCCATGCACAGCTTTTAGAAAGCTCTGGACCATTGTGCCTGTGAGTATGCCTTGGAACCCTTCTGTAAATAGAGCTGAAGTGCTTGTTGGAAGCAGCCTCCTTGTTTACAGAGAACACAGGGCCAGTAAGCAAGTGTCAGTATTGTTAACTACAGTCTCCACTTAAGCACAATGATATCTAAGTGGTTTTGTTGGAAAACTACATCTATGTAGCACTTGTGACTACACTGCACCTCTGCAGAAAAGGGATATTGCCAATACTCAAAACAAAAATGTGAAATGAGTCATTTGGAAACAAGGTGGGGTGTTAGGGCAACCTCCAGGATCTGCAGCATCGAAACTTTCCCGAGTAGTTCTTGGAAAAAGGTGACCGCAAAATTTGGTAGTGTGTACACTTAGCATTCGTGAGTGTGTGTGTGTGTTTAAACCAAAAACTAACAGTGTTGCAACATTGTTGAAAGGGCTTGTGTTTTATCGGTGGTCGCCAAATGCACTCATGGAACTCACCTCCACATATTCCATCAAGGAGCTCTAAAGCAAGGAGAGTGAGTGGACTTTGTTAAAATGCAACAGCGTTTTACCCAGATACTTTGTCCTGATGTGTGTTCCTTGATTTTTCATTCAAAATGTGTTTGATAGTGGACACGTTGGGTATTGTAAAGAGAAAAAAAATCATTTTCTGTTCAAAAGTTGATCAGAACTCTGTGGAAGTGTAATTCTACATTTCTATACTAGTGTCTCCTTGCTTTAGATTTCTGGTGAACCCTGTGGTATAAATAATTGTGTGTGATTTTAAAAAAAAGATACATTTTACATTTCATCAGATTGTTGTTCACACTGGAGTATTATATATAAATATATATATTTGAGGCCCAAGGCCTGAAAAATATTAGTATACAACTTGGTATCTTAGTCTTACTATGTACTTTTTGAAAGTATTCCTTACAGGAGAAAGAATTTAAAATGCTCATTTTATTCATGCCTTTCTTTCTAAAGAAGTCCCTATCGTTATACTGTAGGTCTTTTTATTGCTGATTTTTTATTCCTGAATTTTTGCTGCTCACGACCAATTTTAATACCACTGTGTTTTCCTTCTATTAAACCAGAAGACATAAAAAGTGTAATTGGCAACTCTCCGGCTTTCCTTGTGTCAGGCACCTTTTACCCTTGGTGCTGTAAATCCCCTACATTTTTTCAAGAAAGAAAACATTATTCACGCATTCCTTGAAACCATTTACCAACACTGTATGGAACATCGGGATTGAAATGTGAACTTGTCTTAGGCAAATGCAATTCTTTTTTGCTCCTTAATATCTGTTCAGGTGTGAGAGGCACCTTCCCAACCCTATCGCCTTTGTCTGTGCAATGGACACATCTCAAAAATACTACCAAATAGGTTACTTTGAAGTTTAAAGGTTAGAGGTCTGGTCCCCTTCTAAAGCTGCTACAGTTTTCAAAAGGGTGAAGGCGTTCATGAGAGAACAATTGTAGGAGAGTTGAGAGCCAAGGGTAGGAGAGTTGCCCAAAAGACTTCCCCTTCCCCAGGGTACAGAAAAATTCAAAGGGTCAGCTACAGCTTTATCTAAGCATTTGCTAAATGAGACATGAGGGTGTCCCTGTCTGGTTCTCTGCCACATGAGTGCTGTGTGGAGAGTTACCTCCTCTTTGGGGACTGTACTGTTAGGAACTTTGGGCAAGTCACTTACCTCTTTGTGCCTCAATTTCTGTATATTTCTAACCTACCTCACTGAGGGGGTATGAAGATTCACTAATGTATGTAGCGTGTTTGTCAATCCTCCAGTGAAAAGCACTATCTAGATCACATTTTGGATCACATTAGCCAAAAGCAGTAAATGGCCAAATTAGATGTGTGCTGAAGACAATCAGTCACTGGGTCTATACTAAACAACAAGTAGAGAAACAAATGGCAAACAATATCTATTTTCAAGTTTCTTTGCATATTTTTTGGTGCAAAACAATTCATTTATAAACTTTTTTTCTAACACTAGCGTCTACAGCAGCATTTTAAAATTAGTTCTGTTACCTTTTCTGTATTAGGATTGAAAGTCTATTTCTTATTGTATACCTGATTGAAGCTGTTCTTGGAGATGAATGTTTTAAATGTCTATAATCCAAAAATAAACATTTTGATGTACTTGTGGACTGGCGTGACTTTTTTCCGCCCCAGTTTTGCAGTTCTAATTGGTGTTTTACTCTAAATGGCTCTATGGAAGTGATCTGTAGGACGGGGCATCACTGCCCACTGCTTGGAGTAAGCAGCTCCACACAGTGTGGCCAAGAGCACTTGGTCCCAACTCCTGCCCTCACTGCCAGTACATGGAGTCTCACTGTGAGGACTTCTGGATAAGCAACAATCCACTTAGTTTGGTGGACTTGAGCTTTCCTTTGTTGATATCTAAAAGATGTTACATAAAGAAGCTTCCAAAGAGTGCACAATGAAAAAGTGACTACATACTTAGGGAAATGGAACACAATTGTTTGGTCAGATCCAAAACAGTGGGAAACAAAGTGAAACATCACCGATACTCGAGAGGGGCCCCACTGGGCTCACTTTACAAATCCATAACCCTTCAATTTTCTACAAACTGCGATACAATAAAGTCCAAATTAGGGAAATTGTTTCAATTGTAAAATACATGTTGTATGGTAGAAATGAAAGCAAACACAAACAACAGCAGTAGGTAGAAAAATATTTATTAAGCTCTTCAATAAATTATGTGCACACAGCTTTTTAAAAATGGTAACCTTCTGTAATGAATATGAGACAGACACGTAGATCATCTTTAAGTTTTTAGGCTGTCTTTTAAAGTGCCATCTTTTTTCTAAAACCTAGTAGAGGTTTAGAACTCTTGTATATAGTAAACCAGACAATAATTGACCTTGTTATGGTAAAGTATCTTAAGGAAGAGGGAAAAGATGGGCATATTTTAGACAAAGATGCCAAAATATTCAACAATGTAAAATTAATTTAAAACTTGATTTCTTAATTAATTCCTTGTACTCATTTTTATATTTGCAAAGGGTTCCAATACAGTTTCTAAATAGCTCTGAAATGGATTCTTTGAATGTTTCACTTTTCATAGTAAAACCTAAAGTCCTGATACTTGTGTACTGAAGCATGTAGCTGGCACCTTTCCTTACAGCAAGCTCCAGTACTTTGGCAAATAGTAATAAAGTATCTCAGTGCCACACATGTCAAACTCCACACTTTATTGAGTCCCTGATTTCACCCCTTTTGATCTATCTGCCTTTTCTCCAAGAACATCACTCCCCAGAAGATCCAAGTTCCTCTAGCTGTTTTCTTTGGGTTGTTTCTAGTTCTTCTAGTCTTTTTCGAAGAAGAGAGAGTTCCCTTTGATGCTGTTCTTCCTTAAAAAGGATTTAGCAAAGCACAACAAAAGAAACTGTTAGATAAACTGGAAGAGTGATTGCCAGGTGGCAGCCTCTGTCTTGCTCTTACAAGCTTGCAGGAAAAGATGTCCATTTTAACAGTCTAAATACAGAGATGCGTGGGTTAAGCTACTAACTAGTCCAGCTTCTCTCCTGCCTCGGGCTTTAGCCTTAAGCAAAAACCAGTCTGTTCTTCCCTAGGTGTAAAATTCACTAGGGAGTAAATTAGAAAATGTGAAGGGCAGGGCAGGCACAGGTGTACTTGCATGGCAACTTTCAAACAAGACTGGAGTTTTAATAGTTTATTATAAACAAAGTCAGTGAGGTTCGGTGACTACCATCTTCTGTGCTTATAGTATAACACTTATCAACACTCCATCTTCACAAAAAAACATCCAATTTAATATCAAGGGCCCTGGTATAGCAGTAAGGGCTCAAGTTTTGGAATCATTTAGGTACAAAATTTAACTCCATCATTTTTACGTCACTTCATTATTTGACTCAATTTCCTCATCTATCAATTAGGAATAGTAATACTTGCCCTCAGTTTAATACTTTTTGTCTAAACTTAAAAACTGCCTAAACAAACTGTTGCTTAAACTGTGGTTAAGTATTTTAAGAATTTCGTTTAATATGTTTTCATTAGTGTTAAAATACTGTATGGAAAATGCAAAGTTAATTGCAATAATACTTCACAGCAGTGTGCCAATAAGCTATAAACTCTAGGTTATTCAAGACTCATTTACCAAGATTTTTTCTATTACCCAATAGGAGATTTGATTCTCAGCATCATCACTAGAAGGAAATACAATTCTACTTCTGGGGGAAATTCAAATCTACTTCTCAGTAAATCTCTATGATAAATGAAAGGGAAGAAGTTAAACTTAGTCTTTGGGTATGCCTTTTGAGGCTAAGACCACATTTAGAATTTGAATTTGAATTCTGTATTTAAATGGGCAGAAACCTACAGAAACATTTAACAGTTTTCCTAAAATAAATGCTCAAACCTGCACATGAGGAGGAAAGGCTAGGTCCATGCCAGGAACCATGGCTGATGACTGAAGGTTAACAGGATTTGTAGGTGCTGTGGGAGGCATGTGAGGAACCAGGATTAGACTTCGAAATTCATTATGTCTTCTCTGTATATCCTTTAGTCTTTTCTGAAGCCTTGTATACTCTTCAAATGGAACATTTTGTCTTGAAAAGAAAAAAGTACTCCTGTTTATAAATAGTTATACCCCAATCAAGAAGGATTATAATTCACAGAACTAGTAATATTTCAATATTAATATCTACAGATATTACTAAGGTACCTTAGTAAGGTACTAAGTTAAATTTGGCTTAGTTGAAGTTGGTGGCCTTCTACTTTGAGATACACTATACTAAAGTTGGCATGTATCCCACAATCCAGAAACCTCTTGAATATTCTATAAGAAAACCCAATGGTTTACACTATAGTAAGAATTATAACCAATACCAGTGCACATCATAAAACATCACCGAATAATTTTAAAGCAATTTCCATTATAAAAAGTCTAATACTTGATTAAAAGGTATGGTGACTACTAATTAGTAAATTCAAGACTTTTTATTAACCTGAATCATACAGTGCCACTATTTCCAACTATATATGGTGAATCTTCTTTGCTCAAAAAATGATAATGATAATGATTATCACCTGGGTTCAGATGTGCAAAACTGAACAAAAGCTAAAGCCCAATAATATTTTTTCTTCCCAGGAAAGCAAAAATTGACCATTGACTCAGTTGTAGCCACAATTTTCAGAACTATGCAACAGACACAACTTTCTTACTTTAGCACCTCCATACGTACCAACACCACCACCATCGATGCCAACACTAGTTACATGCCAAAGCCAGTGTCTGAACTTTGTTCTCAGTCTCAACTATAACATCCATACCTGACATGTCATAGAAATCTTGTAGTTTAAAGGACCATTAAGTAAGAAAGAAAAAGATAGTGCAGTTTGAGAAAGTTTTCAAATGTGCATTATAAGCCAAAACACAAAGTACAGTATTCTAAGAAACAAAGCCTTACAATATCAAAATAACCATGAGTATATAAACATACAAACACATTACCTGTTCAGCACCTGGTTTTCTGTTTCCAATTCTTCTTTCTTTGCCTCTAAAACTTCTACTTTCTCCTGCAGTCTCTTCAACTTGTTTTCATGAAGAGATTTTCTCTAGAAAAATAAAGACTAATATAAACAATTGTGTGAACATTTTAACTTCCTATTTGAACAAAACTATATAGTGAGCATTTTACGTACTAAATTATTTAAAGTATAGAGATGCAATTTTTCAGGGACGGCATGGAGCCATGTAGTCATAGCTCTTCCTGAAAATTGCAAAGACAATGAATCACAAATCCCCATCTCATCAATGTACAAATAGAATTGTTCTGGATGCCAAATCAGAAAAATTGGTATCTGTAACTAAACTACAAATAAAAAATCTAAAAAGGGAAGAAGTCAAATTACACAAATGAGTCTGTCATCTACAAAGACATCATAAGCATCATTGTCTCAGAAGTTACGTGTTTAAAAAAACGGACACAAAACTCAAAATGAAGAGCCTGTCTTGAAATGGTAAGTTATTCCAAAGTAAAACATTAAGGGAGAAGAAAGCTGATATAGAGCATGAATGCTTTTCAGTTTTAAAATATGCCTTTCTAGTTAAAAGGGAAAGAATTAACTTTACAATACACGAAGGGAAAGTTTCTACAAGTAAATGTAGGATTGCCTGAGATCAAATGGAATAGTGCAATAAAAGGAGTATATGAACAAAAGTATGTATTTTCACCTTTATAAACAGGTTTTAAAAATAGAATGACACCTCGAATGTTGGAACTCTAGTAGTTGCAGACCTTTTCAATATTTGCTTTCGAACTCCTTTCACTGAAATATAACAAGTTCATAGAAAAATATATAGAATGTAAATGCAAAAAAAGCAAAACTCAAGAGAAAAAAATGCCAGCACAACCACTTCATAGGTCAAAAGCATTTGCATGACAAGTGCCCTTACCTCTTTCTAGTCATGTGCCCAACTAATTTATTTCCAAAAATACAATTCAGCATACTTTTAAATTTCAGTTGAAGGGAGTAAGAAGACTCCTCTTTTGTTCGTGAGAGTTACTCATGCTATTACTCACTGGTATAGGTTAGTCACTGTCAGTCCCTTGGGCTATTACACAACGGATTATATTCACCCAGTCCACTACTTAAGGGCAAAGGATTGCTCCCAGTTAGAACCACTAGAGTTTTCACTTCATCCTTCTCCTTGCTTAGTTTCATGCAGGCTCTCTGAATTCCCCCTCATGCTCATGTCTACTCTGGGAAAGGAACCTCTCTTCTGACCTTTATCACCACAAATAGTTATTTATGTAGTCTTGGTAATTAAGGCAGAGAAATCTTGCACAGCTATCATCAAATTTATTTAGATGTTATGACATACTATTGCAACTGGTATTTAAATATTTTATATTCTTATTGCGCATAAAGATGTTTATTACTTAGACTTAATATCCAACTTTTAAAATCTAATATCTTAATACCTTATTAATAGATTATATTTAATGCATATATAACAATGCCATCTTTGGATGACAATTTTACTTCCTCTTCTCCAATTGTTATATTAATTTCTTTCACTTGCTAAAAATTTCTAATTCTATTAACTGTAACCTCCAACAATAGAGAACAAAATGGTGATAGTGGACTTTTGCCTTGTTCTTGAATCTGGGTGAATGGAGAAAGCATTCAGTATTTCATCAGCAAGTCAGTAAGTGTGAGTTGGGAGAATTTTTTTTTCTTTTCTTCTTTTTTATTTTTAATGCAGGTCCTGAGGATTAATCTCAAAGGGTGGGGGAACTATCTCTGAGCTTTTGTGCTCAAGGCTAGAGCTCTAACACTTGAGTCACAGCTCCACATCTGGCTTTTTGGAGGTTAACTGGAGATAAGACTCTAGGTGCACGGCTTCCAACCTCAATCCTCAGATCTATCTCCTGAATGTCAAGTATTACAAGCAGGTGCCTCCAGCACCCAGAAAGCTGGACATATTTTGTAGACATCTCTTATCAGATTGAAAATTCGATTCCTAATTTAATAACTATGTTGATAAAGTTCAATGCATTTTATGTTTAAAACCTCATCAAAATAGTTTTCAGCATTCACTGAAAAATCACAATACCCTTCCTTCTTTGCTCTGGGAGGGTGAGGGACACTGGTCAGTTTTACATGCTGAGCTACCTTTATTCCTACAATAAACTCATTTCATAACATCATTTTTTAGTGTATACTGAACTCAGTATACACTAATGATTAGGGATGTTTTTTCCTTACTTTCCTATCTGGAAGAGTTTCTGTTAAGACTGGTGTTCTTTCTTCCTTAAGTATTTGGAAGAATTTACCAATGAAGCCAAATGAGGCATTTTCTTTATGGAAGGTTTTTAATTAAAGTCTCCATTTCCTTAATAGATATGACTGATCAGATTTCCTAATTATTCCAGTATTCATTTTGTTAAGATGGTCTTCAAGGAATATATTTATTTCATCTACATTGTACTAACACAATTATTTTTTACAATATTCTTTTAAAATTTTACTATCTATACAATATGCAGTGGTATCTCCTTTTCCAATAAAGGCAACATTCATTATGTTTATCTAATGCAACTTTGGGTTGTTTGAGGAGAATCAGCCTCACAGTGTCTTATCAGTTTTATCAATGTTTCAAAATCCAGCCCTTGGCATTTTCAATTTTCCACATTTTCTGTTTGACTGATTTCTACTCATATCTTGAAGGTGTTGATAATGTCTTTTGTTAAATCTATTGAGTTAAAACAGTTATTTTGTTTTTAGATTTAAGTTTGCTTTAAAAACAAACAAAAAGCTTTCCAGCTAGTTGCTGGTGGCTTAAGCTACTTTCAAAAGATTGAAATCTAAGGATTGAGGTTCAGAGTCAGCTCATGCAGACAAATCCAAATCTCCAAATAACCAGCAAAATGTCAGAAGTGGAGGCTTGGTTCAAATGGTAGAACACCAGTTGTGAAGCTGAGTTTAAGTCCCAGGACCAGCAAAAAAACCAATTTTCCAAGCTGGTGCTGCTGACTAAACTGTATTCCTAGCTACCTGGGAGACAGAGATGGAAACAATCATAGGTCCAAGCCAGCCGGAGGAAAAGGTTTATGAGACTCCTATTTCAACCACCAGCTCAATGTGGTGGCACATGCTTGTCATTCCAGCTATTGTGGAAGAAGTCAACAGAAGGATCAAAGTCTAGGCCAGTTTAGGGGAAAATGAGACCCTCTCTAATAAATTAGTGAGGTAAAGAGAATGAGGGGTGGGACTCAAGTGGTAAAGCATGTGCCTAGTCAGTGTGAGACTCAAGTGGTGAAGCTTTAAGTTCAAATCATAGTAGAAAAACAAACAAATGTTTTCCCGTTGTCTGGTATAATTTCAAGCTTTTATTTCTAAGTATATGCAACACAGTTATTTTTAAAGCCAGTATCTCATTAGTTCATTACCTGGATCTGCTACTTTAGTCTGTTTATACTGGTTATTTCTCATGTTTCTGTTCTGTTCTTTAGTTTTGCTTTTTGACAGTGGTACGGGAGCTGAACTTTAACAAGCTAAGCAGGTACTCTACCTCTTAAGCTATACCTCTAGCACTTGTTGCACTGGTTATCTTTGAGACAGGCTCTGTGCCCGAGTTGACCTGAACAGTAATCCTATTTGCTCTTAACTCTGTAGGTGGGATGACAGGTCCAAACCAATACATCCATTATTTTTGTTGTTGTTGTTGTTGAAATGGAGCCTTGCAAACTTTTTTGCCCAGGCTGACTTCAAAATAAAATCCTTCCACTCTCTACCTCTTGAGTAGCTAAGAAAACATACTTGAGCCACCTGTGCTAAGATGTTTGTTTTTACAATCAATAGATTTTTTTTGGGGGGAGGGCTGTCGTGGGACCTGAACTCTGGGCCTGGGCACTGTCCCTCAGCTCTTCAGCTCAAGGCTAGTGGCTCTACTTGAGCCACAACTCTATTTCTGGCTTTTTCTGCTTATGTGGTGCTGAGGAATTGAACCCAGGGCCTCATGCATGCAAGGCAAGCACTCTACCACTGAGCCACCTTCCCAGCCCCAATCAATAGATTTTCTTAGAGCAGTTTTAGACATAGACAGACATAGACAGTAGAGAGTTAGTATATACTGCCTTACCCACTCTGTTTACAGAGTGGATAATAATACTTGTACTGTGGTACATTTGTTAAAATTGAGATATTATTAATTATGGTCTGTAGCTTACATGAGAACTCATTCTTTGTGTTCTATGTTCTATAGATTCTGCTTAATATGTCATATGTCCACATGTCTACCATTATAGTATACAGAATACTTTCATTGGCCATGAAAAATTCCCTGTGAAGGAAACCTCCTTATACTACTGATGTCAATTAAAAACAACAAAAAAATCCCTGTGTTCTGCCTATTCTTTGTTCTCTTCACTCCTAAAATCTATACCTAGTAGCAATGTCTTTACTGTCTTCACAGTTTGCTTTATCTAGAAATGTCATATACTTGGAGTCTTTTTAGAAGGACCATGCTTTAATATTGGCAAGGGCTAGGCCTTTCACTTCACCTTAGTCCATGGATGAATCCCTTCTGGATCTGAATCCAAAGCCATCAGTGAATGAAATCCTGCTTTGTGGCAGATTCTGACCTCCAACTCTGTTTCCTAAGCCTTTGGAGGTTGTCAAAGCTTTGCTCAACTTTTTAGCCTGCCAGCTTTTCTTCTAAAATCAGCAATTTTCCTAAGAATCATAAGTGCTATGCTCACCCCTTTAGGCTTCTTATCGCTCAGGATTTTGACTTCTTAATAGTTTGTTGAATAACTCTTTAAGGACTTGACAGGGATATTTTTTGTGTATGTGCCAGTACTGGGACTTGAATGCAGGGCCTGGGTGCTGTCCCTTAGCTTTTTTGTTCAAGACAAGGGCTCTACGTCTTGAGCCACAGCTCCACTTCCAGCTTTTTTGTGATTAATTGGAGTTAACAGTCTCAGGACTTTCCTGCCTGGGCTGGCTTCAAACCACAATTCTTAGGTAACAGTTTCCTGAGTGCTAGGATTGAACCACAAGCACCTGGTTTATAGATTTTTTTTTTTAACTGTTTTTGTCCAATTTTC